GGGGGGGGGGGGGCTGCCCCTCCACCTCCCGGCTCCCTCCCGCCAGTCCCTGTAGCACGCACCACCTCTCCACCCTTCCTACCCTCTTCCGTGGGCCTCTCGTCTATGCTTGGCTCCATAGAGTCCGTTCTGCTAGTCTTCCGGCAGTTTTCTGGGTTATTTAGGCAGATGTGGGTGGAATCTAAGGGATCAGCAGGACGAGGTGGGCCCAGCGTCCTCCTATGCCACCATCTTCTCTCCTCTCCTCCTTTTCCAAATTTAGAGCTCTGATATGTTTTGAGTTTATCTTGGAGACTGGTGACAATATGGTTATGGACCCAATATTGTCTTTTTTTCCAAATGGCTACCTAGTTGTCCAAACGCCATTTATTTTAAAAGTCATTATTTCCCCAGTGTATAACTATCAGTTTATTAGATACCAAGTTCCTATATTTAGGTGTATTTTTGGACATTTTATATGCATGTGTTGTTTTATCTGCTCTGCCTATCCCAACGTCACCGTTTTAATTCTAGAGATTGTATAGGATGTTTTCTATCTGAGAGGCTCGTGTTCCTCTCATTGCTCTTACTTGTTTCTTGGTAGAAAACTTTTTGAAGGAAGTTTTCTGACTATTGATTGTTTTTAAGTTTTCCTCAATAAATAATTATCTCTTTTTGTAAAATAATACATTAAATAATCTGAAAGAATGCTTTCCCCTAGAACTGCAGTATGCAAACACCGTGATGCGCTTTGATTATGTGTGGCTTCGAGACCACTGCCGCTCAGCATCTTGCTACAACTCCAAGACCCACCAGCGCAGCCTGGACACTGCCAGTGTAGATTTATGCATCAAGCCAAAGACCATTCGTCTGGATGAGACCACACTCTTTTTCACTTGTGAGTAGACAACAGACTTTGCCTTCATTGGAGTATTCTTCTAAGGAACAATTATTTTGCAAAAACTGGTTTGCCTCATTCCAAAACAGAGAATTCTATTTTTTTATTGATGTATAATTAACATAAAATATCTTCTTAGTTTCAGGTGTATAACATTGATTTGACAATTCTGTACATTACTCAGTGCTCACCATACATGTAATCACCATCCAAGACCATACAACGTTATTACCGTATTATTGACTGTATATTCCCTACGCCATACCTTTCATCTCTGTGGCTTGTTGACTTTATAACTGAAGTTTGTACCTCTTAATCCCCTTCACCTACTTTGCCCCTCCTCCTCCCCCTTGGCAGCCACCAGTTTGTATTTGCTATCTTGTATTTGAGAAACTGGTTTTTTGTTCGTTTGTTTTGTTTTTTAGATTCCACATATAAGTGAAATTATATGGTATTTGTCTTTTTCTGTCTGACTTATTCCACTTAACAAATACCTTCTGGGTCCATCCATGTTGTTGCAAATGGCAAGATCTCATTTTTTATGGCTGAATAACATTCTATTGTGTGTATATATATCTCATCTTCTTTATCCATTCATCTATCAGTGGTCACTTGGGCTGCCTCCCTATCTTGGCTATTGTAAATAATGCTGCAGCAAATATAGGGGTGCATGTATCTTTTCAAATTAGTGTTTTCTTTGAGTAAATACCCAACAGTGGAATTATTAGATGGGATGGTATTTCTATTTTTAATTTTTTGAGGAACCACAAAGCTGTTTTCCACAGTGGCTGCATCAATTTACATTCCTGCCAACACTGCATAAGTGATCCCTTTTCTCCACATCTTCGACAACACTTGTTATTTCTTATCTTTTTCATGCTAGCCATTCTGACATGTGTAGGTGATATCTCATTGTGGTTTTCATTTGCATTTCCTTGATGATGAGAGATTTTGAGCATCTTTTCATGTGTCTTTTGACCATCTGGATGTCTTCTTGGAAAAATGTTTATTCAGGTTCTCTGTTTTAATCAGATTATTTGCTTTTTGATGTTGAATTTTGTTAGTTCTTAATATATTTTGGATATTAACCCCTTATAGGACATATCATTTGCAAATATCTTCTATTCACCAGATTGCCTTTTTGTTTTGATGATGGTTTCCTTTGCTGTGCAGAAGCTTTTTATTTTTATGTAGTCCCAATAGTTTACTTTTGCTTTTATTTCCTTTGCCTTGGGAGGCATATCTAGAAGAAGGTTGCTATGGCCGATGACAAAGAAGTTACTCCCTGTGTTCTCTTCTAGGATTTTTATGGTTTCAGGTCTTACATTTAGGTCTTTAATCCATCCTGAGTTTGGTGTGTGTGTGTGTGTGTGTGTGTATGGTGTAAGAAAGTGGTCCAGTTTCATTTTTTTGCACGTTGCTCTCCAATTTTCCCAACATCATTTGTTAAAGAAACTGTCTTTTTCCCATTGCATATTCTTGCCTCCTTTGTTGAAGATTAATTAACCATATATTCATGAGCTTATTTCTGGGCTCTCTATTCTGTTCCATTGATCTAAATGTCTATTTTGTGCCAGTACCACACTGTTTTGATTATTACAACTTTGTAGTATATCTTGAAATCTGGGATTGTGATACCTCCAGTTTTGCTCTTCTTTCTCAGGATTACTTTGGCTATTCAGGGTCTTTTGTGGTTTCATACAAACTTTAGGATTATTTGTTCTAGTTCTGTGAAAAATACTGTTGGTATTTTGATAGGGATTACATTGAATCTGTAGATCGGTTTGGGTAGTATCGACATTTTAACAATATTAATTCTTCCAATCCATGAGTATTGGATTACTTTCCGGTTTTTGTTGTTGTTCAATTTTTTTCATTCATGTCTCATACTTTTCACAGTATAGGCCTTTCATCTCATTGGATAAATTGATTCCTAAGTATTTCATTCTTTTCAGTTCAATTGTAAATGGGATTGTTTTCTTAACTTTTCTTTCTGCTACTTTATTATTAATGTATAGATACACAATAGATTTCTGTATATTAATTTTGTATCCTGCAACTACTGAATTTATTTACTGAATAAAAGCATTTCTTTGCAACTTCCTGTGAATCTATAATTATTTCAAAATAAAAAGTGAAAAGAAAAAAGCTTTGGAGGAAACAGTATTTACAATCAATACTTTTGACTACTGATTTCTCTATAGTAAAAAAAAAACCCATGCCATAGAAAGGTTTATTTCTATGCAAAACATTTGCAACATGCATTACAGAGACTGAAAAACCTATTAATGTATAAGGTATTTTATTGCCAGTTTGTAAAGAAAAGCACTAGTATTTCAATAGAAAAATGTGAGAAAGAAGTGAACAGGCAGATCGTTAAAGCATGAGTCAGCAAATATTCTGTAAAAGGCCAGATAGTAAAAACTTTTAGGTTTTGCTAGCTGTACAGTCTCTGTCACAACTGTTCAGCTATTCAATTCTTCAGTAGTAGGGTGAAAGCAGACATACTCAATATGTAACCAAGTGAGTATCATGTGTTCCAAAACAGGTGTGATAAAGACAACTGCCAGGCAGATTTGGCCTGTGGGCCATAGTTTAGTAACCCTTGCATTTAAAAAATATGTCTATACAGATGGCTAACAGACACATGAAAAGATGCTGAACATCACTCATCATCAGGGAGATGCAAATCAAGACTACAATGAGATACCACCTCACACCTGTCAGAATGGCTAAAATCAACAACACAAGAAACAACAGGTACTGGCGAGGATGTGGAGAAAGGGGAACCTTCTTACACTGTTGGTGGGAATGCAAACTGGTGCAGCCACTCTGGAAAACAGTATGGAGGTTCCTCAAAAAAATTAAAAATAGAACTATCCTATGACCCAGCATTTGCACTTAGGAATTTACCCAAAGGACACAAAAATACTGACTTGAAGGGACACATGCATCCCAATGTTTACAGCAGCACTATCAACAATAGCTAAATTATGGAAAGACCTCAAATGCCCATTGACTGATGAATGGACAAAGAAGATGTGTACACACACACACACACACACACACACACACATACTGGAATATTACTCAGCCATCAGAAAGAATGAAATCTTGCCATTTGCAATGATACAGATGGAGCTAGAGAGTATTATGCTAAATGAAATAAGTAGACAGAGAAAGACAAATACCATATGATTTCACTCATATGTGAAAATTAAGAAACAAAATAAATAAGCAAAGGGAAAAAGAGAGAGAAAAACAAACCAAGAGCTAGATTGTTAACTATAGACAACAAACTGAGGGTTGCTGGAGGGGAGGTGGATGGGGGGATAGGTTAAATGGGTAATGGACATTAAGGAGAGCACTTATTGCAATGAGCACTGGGTGTTGTATGTAAGTGATGGATCACTAAATTCTACTCCTGAAACCAATATTACATTATATGTTAATTAACTGGAATTTAAATAAAAACTTGAAATAAAGTAATAATAGTTTAAAAATAAAAATAAAAGATGTATGTCTAGCAAATATAAATGTCTAACAAATGTTCTTATTAACCTTATTAGTAAATGAATAAATTAAAATTATTACAATAAGAGCTTTACCTACCAAATTGGAAAAACTATCTTTAAAAAATAAGCATACTCTATTTTGATAGATACATATATATTGCTGTAGAGAATGAAAATTGGTATACTTTTTAAAAATACTGTGGGAACATTTTTTAAATATTTATTTTGAGAGAGAAAGAGCAGGAGCAGGGCAGGGGCAGAGAGAGACGGAGAGAGAGAGAATCACAAGCAGGCACCACACTGTCAGTGCAGGGCCCAATGCAGGGCTTAATCTCACAAACTGTAAGATCATAACCTGAGCCAAAATAAAGAGTTGGACGCTTAACTGACTAAGCCACCCAGGCACTCTGAAATTGGTAGACTTTCTAATAAAGTAACTTAAATGCATCAAGACTCGTAAAAGTTTAGATCTTCAGATTTAACAATTCCACCTTCTGTGTTCCTATTTTAAGAAAATTATCAGAATTATAAACAAGGATGTCACTATTAAATAATAAGGAAATGAAAGAAAAAAACCCTACATGCTCCAGAGAAAATTGGTTAGGTAAATCTTGGTAGTCCATATTCTGCACATTATAAGAATTTTTATGAAGATTTCATTTTTTAAGTTTTATTTTTATCCCAGTTAGTTCACATAAAAGTGTAATATTAGTTTCTGGTGTAGAATTTAGTGATTCAGCGCTACCATAAAACACCCGGTGCTCATCACAAGTGCCCTCTTAATCCCCATGACCTATTTCACCCATCCCTCCACCCACCTCCCTTCTGGGAACCATCAGTTTCTTCTCTATAGTTAAGAGTCTATGAATTTATGAAACAATCATAGGATGAAGATTTAAAATTTTTAAAATGTTTATTCATTTATTTTGTGAGAAAGAGAGAGCACAAGCAAAGGAGGGGAAGAGAGAGAGAATCCCAAGTAGTCTGCACACTGCCAGCACAGAGTCTGTCGTGGGATCGATCCCATTAGCATGAATGAGATCATGTCCTGAGCCGAAATCAAGAGCTGGATGCTCAACTGACTGAGCTACCCAGGTGCCCCAAAGATTTAAATTTTTATTGATAAAATCACTCTTAAAATATTAAGTTACAAAGGCAGGGTACATGGGAAAAAAGTGGAAGGAATGATGCCAGGCTGTTAACAGTGGTTTCATCTGCATGGTAGAATGGTAAATATAGGTAATTTTTAAAATCTTTCTCATATGTTTTATGCTTTACAAATTCTTTATGATACTTTTATTGTCATGGGGTGGGAAGCCAAACAGAGAGAAACAGAGACAGAGAAAGAGAAGTAAAAAGAAGTAAGAGAAAAGATAAGATGCCAGCAAAGCCTTTTACTCCCCTTGCTATACCCTTTGCATATCCTGAAGATTTTCTAAAGCATTTGGGGGGGGGGGATTTTTTTTTTTTTACTTTTTGGGGTTTTTTTTGGCACAGTGGGCAAAGTCACTTATGAAATCATTATCCTGTTATATTGATGTCATATCATTAGGTCAAACTACCCTAATTCATTTAGTCCATTCTAGTTGGTAAGATGTATTTGTTCATTCATTCACTTATTAATTCATACTACTCAACCTACAAATATTTCTGTTCTCAGGAACATTCTAGGCACTTGTTTTAATTTTGTTCCATAAACAATATAGCACTGGGTAATTGGTTGCTAAAAATAACATTCTTAACCAGTAAATTATTGGCAGTACTTGTAACTATTATTTTAATGTCTTTTATTTTTCCCTTAAAAGGGCCAGATGGTCATGTGACTAAATATGATTTGGATTGGCTGGTGAAAAACAGCTATGAAGGGCAGAAACAAAAGGTCATCCAGCCTAGAATCTTATGGAATGCTGAAATCTACCAGCAAGCCCAAATTCCATCTGTAGATTTCCAGAGCTTCCTAGAAACAAATGATGGATTAAAGAACTTTCTGCAAAATTTTCTGCTGTATGGAATTGCATTTGTAGAAAATGTCCCTCCCACTCAAGAACACACAGAGAAGTTGGCTGAAAGGATCAGCTTGATCAGGTAACTTATTAGTTTCTAATATCTATAGTAATAATTTCCAGAGCATTAATACCAGTAAAATAACAACAGGGTATGGTCACCTTGTTTTTAATCATGAATATTTTGTGGTCTGAATAAAGTGATTCCCATTTATAGTGCTTTATTTGAGGCCCAGATTTCTAATCTCTAAAGACACTTACATGTTAAATATGATGAAGACTTCAAAGTCACTGTAAAATTTTTCAGCTTAGTGGTCCTCAAAGTGACAGGTACCATTGTACACTAGGAGGAGGACTAACTTTGAATAAAGAGAATCAGGTAGTATTCTGAGTTCCACCATCAGGGGATTGTGTGAACATAGGCAACTCCATTACACTCACACCTGTACCCTCCACCTCCACCTCTACCCCCTTGGCCTTGATTTTCCCATCTGAACAATTAGAGGATTGAATAAAATGGTGTCTAAAGATCATCCAGTTTTGACCTACTATGATTGCTAAGGCTTGATCCAGAGACTAGTTGTTAATAATACTGCCTTACACAATATAGCACGTAACCAACAAATTTACACCATTATTTTCTTTTGGTCATTATAGAAATCATGATAAGTGTATATTTTATCTCCTGTTCTGCTGAGCCACTTGAGACCCACGTATATTAAGTAGGTGGCTTGCCCAGTATTGTTCTGCTAGTAGGTAGTAGAACTGGGATTTGGGGTAGAGCTGAGATGGTGGTGTACTAGGAGGACCCTAGCTTTGCCTTGTCCCTCAAACACAGATAGATAACTATCAAATCGTTCTTAATACCCAAGAAATTGACCTGAGGAGTGATAGAACAAACCACAACTAGAGGGAGAGAAGAGGCCACATCAAGGAAGGTAGGAAGTGCAGAGACGCAATTTGGGGGAGAAACGTACTGTAGGTGCTGTGGGAGGAAGAGAGCCCTGGTTGCAGAGAAATGTGAGAGAGAGTGGAGCACACAGGGATAAGCACAAGGAGATCACTTCTGCACAGCCATTGCCGGGAAAACAAGAGGGGCTGATTTTCATGAGTTTTTGCAACCAATGGGGCTCAAAGACTGGAATTTTAGAGGTCCCCAGACTTGACTGGGATAGAAACCTGAGGACACTGCCTGACTCCTAGAGAGAAGGCAGGCAAACAACCTGAGGATAGATGGCTCGATATGAGGAACTACTAAGTAAGGCACACGAGAAGAGACTATTCACTCTTCTTGGAGCACATCTGTGAGAGGTGGCATTGCCTTTCTGAGGACAAAAGACGACACCATTTTCCTCTCCCGCCCCTCGGCATAGGCATAGAGATACCTGCAGAGGGTAGCTAACCGGGAAATTAGCTGTTTAGCCTTCTTGCTCCAAATCCCACACCCACGTGCTCTGATACACCTACCCTTCCATGTCAAACTATATCCATTTCAGTGTGGCAAAACCCTTTCCCAGAGGACCAGCACAGGCCCCTTCCACAGCAGGTCCCTAAATTTTGGAGTTCTAAAAGTCAGCAGGCTTGGCTGAGTTAGATCCCAGAGTATACTGTGCTGCTCCAAGCAGGCATATAACCCAGAGACAGTGTTAAAACGGTGATCTGAAAAACACATAGGACACACAACGGGAAATTATTTGCTCCTCTGGGGGTGCTTTTCTCAGAGCAGGAAGCATGGACTCCCTTCTACAGGGACAAAGGAGCGGGCTGGCACAATTTTCCTCCCTCGCCCCTCAGCATAAACCAACTTCAGGAAAACAGCACAGTGCCAACACAAACTGACTAACCTGCTTACACGAAGTCACACTTTGTGCTGCTGGTACTGCTTTTCTCGGGCAAGTGTGCCTAGGATCAGCACAGCAGGCTCCTTCCCCCAGAAGATCAGCACAAACCCCTGCCCACACCATGTCTCCCAACCAGAGAGTTGTTCAAGGCTTCAGTTCTAGTGGAAGTAGCATCAGGTCCCTTTTAACAAGCAGGCCAGAGCACACCTAGTTAAAATGCACCACACTTTGGCTAAGGTGCAAACACTCCCCACTGCATGCAAGAAGAGCCTCTGCAAGAACTGACCTGAGGGATAGAGCAGCCAAAACACAGCAGCAGAATCACACAACACACATCAAAGACACTCCCTAAAGCACCAGGCTCTGGATGCTATATGACCTCTTCATACAGCCATTTACACTCAGGAGCAGAAACTAACAGACTTTTCTAACACAAAGAAGAAGGCAGAGACCTAGACAGAATGCCAAGACAAGAATTCATCTCCAAAGAAAGAACAAGAAGAGGTCATGGCCAGGGGTCTAATTGAAACAGACAGACATAATTTAATATGCCTGATGGAGAATTTAAAGCAACAATCATAAAGATACTTGCTGGTTGGAAGAGTATGGGAGACATCAGGGAGACCCTTACCACAAAATAAAAGAGTTAAAAAACAATCCATCAGAAATGAAAAATGTGATAACTGAGATTCAAAACCAACTGGTTGTAATGACCACAAGGATGGAAGAAGCAGAAGAATGAATAAGTAATATACAAGATAGAATTATGGAAAATAATGAATTTGAACAAAAGAGAGAAGAGTGATGGATCACAAGAATAGACTTAGGGAACTCAGTGACTCCATTAAATGTAATAATATTTGTATCATAGGGGTCCCAGAAGAAGAGAGAGAAAGGGGGAAGATTTATTTGAGGAAATAATGGCTGAACACTTCCCTAATCTGGAGAAGGAAAGAGACATCCAGAATCAAGAGGCACGGAAAACTCCCATAAAAATGAAAAAAAAAAAAGCAGGCCAGCAAGATATATTGTAGTTAAATTTGCAAAACATAGTGATAAAGAAAAAAATCCCAAAAGCAGCAAGACAAAAGAAGTCCCTAACTTATAAGGGAAGACCCATAAGGCTAGCTGGAGATTTCTCAACAGAAATTTGGCAGGCCAGAGGGAATGGCATGATTTGTTCAAAGTACTGAATGAGAAAAACCTGCAGCCAATAATACTCTATCCAGCAAGGCTATCATTCAGAATATGAGGAGAGATAAAGACTTTCCCAGACAAACAAAAACTAAAGGAGTTCGTGATCATTAAACCAACCCTGCAAGAAATATTAAAGGGGGCTCTTTGAGTGGAAAGGAGAGAACAAAATTGACAAGGACAACAAAGGATCAAAGAAAATGTCCACAATGACAAAGCAAGTAATAAAATGGTATTGAGTACAGATCTATAAGTAATCACTCTGAATGTAAGTGGACTAAACACTCCAATCAAAAGACATAGGGTGTCAGAATGGATAAAAAAAGAAGACACATCTGCATGCTACATATAAGAGATTCATTTTAGACCTAAAGACATCTGCAGATTGAACATGAGAAATATTTATCATGCAAATGGACATCAAAATAAAGCCATAATAGCCAAACTTCTATGAGACAAACTTGATTTTAAACAAGTCTTTGTAAGAAGAAATGAAGAAGGGCACTATATCAAAATAAAGGTGACTATCCCATAGAAAGATATAACAATCATAAATATTTATGCCCCCAACTTGAAGCATGCAAATATATAAACAATAGCATATATAAAGGAACTAATTGGTAATAATACAGTAATAGTAGGGGACTTTAACACCCCACTTACACCAATGGACAAATTAAGCAAAAAATAAACAAGGAAACAATGGCTTTGAATGATACACTGGACCAGATGGACTTAATAGATATATTCAAAACATTTCATCCCAAAGCAGCACAATACAGTTTTTTCAAATGCACATGGGACATTCTCCAGAATAGACCACTTACTAGGTCAAAAAACAGGCCTCAACAAGTACAAAAAGACTTTTATCATACCATGTATGTTTTATGACCACAACACTATGAAACTTGAAGTCAGCCACAAGAAAAAAATTGGAAAGACCACAAACACATGAGGGTTAAACAGCATGCTACTAAACAATGAGTGGGTTAACCAGGAAATCAAAGAAGAAATTTAAAAATACATGGAAACAAATGAAAAATGAAAACATCATGCTCTAAAATCTTTGGAACTCAGCAAAAGTGGTCCTAAGAAGGAAATATATAGCAATACAAGCCTACATCAAGAAGCAAGAAAAATCTCAAACAACCTAAACTTACACCTAAAGCAGCAATAAAACAACAACAAATGAAGCCTAAAGCCAGCAGATAAAGGGACATAATAAATATTAGACCAGAAATAAATGATATAGAAACTAAAAAACAAAACAAAACAAAACAGTAGAACAGATCAGTGAAACCAGGAGCTGATTTTTTGAAAAAATTAATAAAATTGATAACCCCCTAGCTGTTGCAGACTTTGAGTCTGGAGTTCTCTCTTGTCCAGCAAGAGAGTTTATGCAGAATTGAATATGAGAGAGGCTAATGTCCAGGAGGTGACAAGAGCCTCGAATAAGGGTCCTTGCTCAGTTTTTATTACGATCAGAAGGCTTACAAACGTGATGGACGTGCAGAAAGAGACAATGAAACAGTAAACATTAACTCGTGTGTGATAGAAAAGGTGTTTCGAAGATGTGCAGTGTTAGGGGTTTGGGTCAATACAAAACAAACTCACAGTGCCAAGCAGATGGTTTACAGCAGGCACAAGGCGCCACGTCTGTTTATCTTAGCTTGCCTATGGGATAAGAGAGATAGAGCAGGCTACCTTAGGATCAACAAGGCACTTTTCTTTTGCTAATTAGCTCCGCTCTGGGCAATTTCACCGTGCTGCAGTCTATAGCCCTGTTTACCTGTTTACCTATTCTGGACCTTAAGTCCTGTGACAGCAGCTTTCTGTTTTGTTCTATGCTGGGAGCACTTTCGCCCTATTTGCCTAATCTTGGATGCTTTCATTGTAAGCCTTGTTAACCCATTGGTACAAGCTCAGGGAATTCCAAAACTTATTCCCCACACTTAGCGAGTCTTATCAAAAGAAAATAGATTGGTCTCAAATAAATTAAATCAAAATTAGGGAGGAGAAATAACAACCAACACCACATAAATACAAT